GGGCTTTGCTGAATCCTTTTTTCATTTTTTTTTTTTTAATAATTTGCCCCAAATCGTCGTCTACAACAGAAACAAGACGGGATGGTCTTACAATAACTGCCCAGATTCCAATCGTCAAACAATTATTCTGCTAACGATCTTTTAAGAAATTCCTTTTTTTTTTCTCAACATTTAAATGATGAAAAAAGATACACATACAAAGCTAGACTGTTGACACTACAATCTTTGTCTCATTTTATGTAGAAATCAACTTGAATCTGTTTTTGTCCGAGTAAATATTCATGTCATTGTGGCTAGGGCATGCTTAATGACTAACAAATTCCTAGTTTGTTCCCTATCACTGAATGAAAATTAAACGTAAAGTATAAATCAAACTACGTCCTTATATGAAGACGTTATTTTTGAAAGAAAAGTTCCCCAGGTAGCTCAACTGTAAGCTAGAATTCGAAATTCGATCCCCGCGACAGCTAGTACATTGTGCAGCTTTGCGCTGAAACAAACAAACAAGAAATAAACGATACAAAATGATAGTATAAAAAAATATACAAGAAATACCCTTGTATAGCACATTTCTTAGTAAACGCTAAAATTTCGACGAACGGTTAAATTTAATGAGAAATTCAAAACTAATTCCATTTTACGGCACTGCTAATTTTTTTTATGGATGAAAACTCTAAACTTTTTTTTTGTTTCACAATGGTACTTAACCTTTCCAGTGACCACACACCTTCTGAAGGCTCATATGTTGTTGGGGCCGTATGTTTAGGGCGAATTATTCACGACTACATAATTGCCTGCTTGTTTTAGGATTTTGAGAAAAAGATGCGCGTTTAGGGCGAATTATTCACGACTACATAACTGCCTGCTTGTTTTAGGATCTTGTGAAAAGATGCACGTTTAGGGTGAATTATTCACGACTACATAATTGCCTGCTTGTTTTAGGATTTTGAGAAAAAGATGCGCGTTTAGGGCGAATTATTCACGACTACATAATTGCCTGATTGTTTTAGGATTTTGAGAAAAAGATGCACGTTTAGGGCGAATTATTCACGACTACATAATTGCCTGCTTGTTTCAGGATTTTGTGAAAAGATGCACGTTTAGGGCGAATTATTCACGAGTACATAACTGCCTGCTTGTTTTAGGATTTTGTGAAAAGATGCACGTTTAGGGCGAATTATTCACGAGTACATAATTGCCTGCTTGTTTTAGGATTTTGTGAAAAGATGCACGTATTAAATGTTTAAACTCGTCCGCTGTATTTTTAAAATCAAGCTCGTGACACAACGTCAACGCAGGAAGATGTATAGAAATACCACTTAGAGTTGAAACTTTTACTTGATACATTTAATTCTGTATTCGCGTTTTACATTATTCAAAATGTGGGGGCCGACTGTGAGTTCGAAGATTTTTCGATTCACGTCCCGTTGCCGCAAAAACGCGCTTCGAAATCTGGAACCTTCGGTGCACCATGAGGTTGCAAATCCCACTAATAGCCCAGAAAAACGTAGTTCGTTAGTTGGCGGTGGGTACTATTGACTAATTTCCCTCTAGAGTCGATCAATTAAAACTTAGGGACGGCTAGTGCAGGTAATCCTTGTGTAGGTTTGAGAAGTTTATTAGAAAAAAAAGAAAGAAATATCCCTGTCCTGGAAGTTCTAAACCCTCGATCTGAACACATCCTTATGATCCATGTGTATAATATTCCGAGTCGGAAAGGGTTGTTACATACCTTACCAAAAAGCAATAACTTTTCTTTGGTATCACACTGCTCTCGAAACACCAAACAACGTCAAAATGTAGTCCTCATACATTCCGTCCTGCCTTCAAATAATGCTATCACGTTCAGAAATGAACATGTTTATAAAGAATGGTACCACCAAATCACACAACAGGTTGGTATAATTCTAGTGTGAGAGCCACGAAATTTCTCAGAGTAAATTATCTTTTAACTGATTGCTTTGAAGCTTCAATCAGGCAACATTCCTTCCTTCTGTTTCCCAGCTACCTCCGTTACATCGGTCAACATAGCAGCATAGATAATCGCCAGAGCTGCATCTTGAATATTATCATCTCTTGCAAAAGTACAGAGGTCTCTCTAAACAATTAAGGGGCCTGGCATGCTCGACATGAAATCTACAGGTCGCTTGTTCGAATCCCATCAACAAACACACTCGCTCGCCATTTCAGAGTTGGCCCAAGCTAGCTACCTTCCCTCTAGTCTATTCAGTTTCTAAATTAGGGACAGCTAGCGCAGATATACCTTGAGTAGTTTTGCGAGAAATTCAACAAACTAAACTATTCATTATAAGCATATTTTTTATCTAATTTTGATTTATGATATTACCCACTTTAAATCAGCATCTATAATCCTCTTATCAGAAGTTATAAATAACTTCGTAAAAAAGGAGTTTGATACTTAGATAACAATTACGTTTAAGGAATAAATTATCAGTATGTTACTTCTTATCTGCGGATAGTTTTGTATATTTATTTACTATTAAGCACAAAGCTACACAATGGGCTATTTGTGCTGTGCCCAGCATAGGTATCGAAACCTGATTTCTAGCGTAGTAAGTCCCTGAGGGAATGGGGTCTACGTCTATTGGCAGAAACCACGTGCATGGAAGGAAATGAGTTTCTTAAGTTTATACGCTGCGTTGTCTTTAGAACAATATTTTCCAACAGGTTATTTTTTTTTTACAGTATACTATCTATGATACTCTGCAAGTTACTAAAATTTATACTTTTCGATGTTATAACTGCATATAATTTACATTAACTTATCGAAAAAGGCTTTAGAATTTACTAGAGAACATATAAAATGTATGATTTCAATAAGTTTTTTCAATCATATTTTTGTAGGGTTGAAAACAGATATATATAAGCCGATGTTCTTCGTTTGTTTCAAATTGCCCAACTTCGTAACCATGGCAACGCTTATCATGCGAATAGGGGTACAAATTTTTCGGTGAAGTATCGTGACGATGTCTTTATCACGATGACGTTGGAAAAAAAAAAAAAGATTTCCTTTGAAATGACTGCAGTATTATTTATTTTAATTGTGTTCATAGATTATTCAAAAAGACTGGTGTAATAACTGTACATTCCTGCATTTTTTCGAACAATATTAAGTATTGTTACCTACGCCCTCTAGTAGCACACATATTATTCACGATTTCATACAAGGATTTGAACTCGGAATTAATCTCTCTTCTTATATTGCCATAGTTTCTTGTTGTCAGTTGAAATGTCTTTTTTTTTAAATAATTTTGCAGCTAATCGGTTGGAGGTTATAATGACAGGAATAATATTGTAAAATTTTATATTTATTGTTAAACCAAAAAAAGGGATAAATTTTTATAATTATTTTAAGGAATCTCAAACACTCGTGATAAATTTACTTCATATTGTCTGCTTTTTTATAGTTAAAGTATTCACTTTATGAATTTTAGTTTACAACAATATATAAAATTAGCTGTGTAATTTTTCCGTTTTATTTCAGCGCCACAGTGCGTCAGAACTGAAAAGATTAATCAACACTCTTTTACCATCGTATGGAAGAGACCCGTGTTGTCGTACAATAAAAACCACAAGCTTTTGGCATTTTCAATCTCCTGTTTCCTGTTAGGAGAGGCTAATCCAGGTAACGAGGCTAGAATTAAGTTTACTGAACTTTCCGTTTGTGGACATGGTTGCCAAATTTATTATTAATATGATTTCCTGTTGTTGTTTTTTTCACAGCTGCTTCAGTTAACTTTATTAAAATTATTTCCTCATTACTAATAAACAATATAGAAAATTGAGTGTTATAAGCAAATCAAAAAGTTGCGTGACAACTACAACTAATACAAAGTCGCGGTGGAACGGTATGTACCAGAACTACATATTTTACATAGTTCGTCGTTACGTAGGTAGTGTGACGCCACCAAAAATTGAGCGCTTATGGGAGGGGTATGTAACAGCCTATACAGATTAGATATACCTTGTGCTTAATAGTATTAT